GGGGGGGGGGGGGGGCTTCCCTTATTTCGTAGATTTTCTCGCGTCTTTCTAGAGATCTCGAAACAATCTGTTACAGACAATCTTTACCAGTACTATAAACACTTTAATGCCCGCCCATAGAAAAATATTTCCTCGACTTTTAATTGTCACTGAAATTATTGTATTGTAGAGATTTTTCAAATGAAAATATATGATATCATTAAGACATCAATGATATCATTAAGACATTAATCATTATACACATTATGCAAACAAACTAAATTAATGATGAAACTTTGTAATTGCAGGAGGAAATAAAGAAAACTAAAAAAAATTATGAGATTACTATTTTTAGCGTTTTCAGTGTTTGATCAATGAACACAACAGATATAACAGATGTTTCCATATGCTTTATAATTAATGTTGCATGATCAGCGGATGCATCAGTCAATGTCAGTCAGAGAATACACCTCCCGACTATACTTCGCATGCAAGATGCCCATTTCGAATTCAGATAATGACACTTTGTTCTAGCTGTTTACATCTTTTGCTGATTTACCTGATTATAATTAACGTATCGTAGCATTTTCTTTTGTGTCGAAGTCATTACAGTAGTTCCTCTCTAGATCTACAGGGTGTATAAAAAAAAGCGCAATCCTCGACTGAAATGTAAATTGCTAAACAAATAATAGACGAAAACGTTAAAGTTTACAATCATTTTAAAGCGTAGCCATTCAGCTTTCTAACAGTGGGATGTTTCTTAAATTTGACTCATTGGTTCGCGGGTAATAATACTTTACGTTATTGCGATTGGAGATTAAAAAAATTGAGATGGAATAACAAATCGTTCTCATGAAAATAACTGATTTTTTCATTAAAACAAAAAAATGTTGCATTTTATTAAATGGATTGTAACAATAAGTATAATTACAGCTTTTCTTCCACTATTTTAACTCAGTTTGAAACTTCAAATGCGATATAATTTTGGCTTGGACCATCTAAGCTGACTGACATCAACTTGCTATAATTTCTGTTTACATTACATCGCAATTCGATGACACTCTGGCTCAGACACCAGAATGTTTTGACGATTTTTAGCATTCGTTTAGGATTTTCAAACAACCTGGTCTCTTTTAAAATACTTTCAATTTGTTCTTACGTGGTTTTCCAGATGTAGTGACGACAACATTAAAGTTTAAAGAAGAAAATTCTAACATTTAAACCAACTAAACAATACTGAACATAGTAAACTTGCATAATTAAACAACTAAAAATGATAGGTTTTACTAAATCTTTTCCTGTGCAATTACTACTAGCATTGGAGACAAGGATAATAGTTTGTTTGAAAGAGAAAAGAACAGGCTTTGAAGTAAGCCTAAAAGCGTTTAACTAGAAATAGTATTTCGAAAGTTATTAAGCACAAAAGATGAATTGCGTTTATTTTGATACACCCTGTAGTGCTCAGGAAACAAAGAAATACGATACGCTTATTTGTTTTGTCTTTTGAAACGATTTGCAGGTGGTATGTTCGTACGTTGTTTCTTACTTTGTTGGGTTTGCAATAGGAAACATTTCCAAACGCAATTCAAGATTGAATTTTTGTAAAAAAAAACCCTGTGAAAATGTAAATAACTTAGCAGTTTGAACAACTACAGTCTACGGTGTATTATAGAATGTTCGAGGACAAGGGAATGCCAATTTATATAGTCGCCTAAATTGTTTTAGAGTAAAAATGTATTGTTGACGAAGTTTCCGTTGAAGTTTCCGTTGGCGTTGTATTAACTCACTGTTGTTGGTTGAACTCTAGGAAAACACAATATCAATGCTTCACGAAGAATCATTGGCGTTGTCTTAGTTTGCCAAAAGAAAAGAAAATAAGAGTAAAACTATTTGTACTGTAAATACAAATGTAACATCTGCCGTTTTGGCTACATTTTGACATGTGGATCTTTGGCCTTCCATAATAAGATGCACTAATACAAACGTTCTTTGGATGCACATACACATGGCATATTCTTACAGAGCATGTAACACCCAAATATGGCATAAAAAGAATCAAACATACTTTGAAAGATTTTTTCGCGGTCACAATGAGCGTTTGCATAACACAGTTAGCAATTTTTGATGTTAAGATTTTCTTTGAAAACCTCAGCTACACTGTAGTCTCCATGCCTGCATGCCTCTAGGTCGTTTTCCACTTCAACCATATATCGTATCGTAACGTATCGTAGCATTTTCTTTTGTGTCGAAGTCATTAGTTCCACTCTATTCTAGTGGTCAGGAAACAAAGAAATACGTTTCGGTTAGAATACGATTGAAGTGGAAAACTGGCGTAATTAAGGCAACCACACTTATTGCTTCGCGGACTCCATGAACATTAGGACACTTTGGATATCAGCTACAAAGAGTCTATTGAATCAGTATAACTATACAGAGTTTCATTTCCTCCCTAACAAAGCAATCATTTGACCAGTTGAGCAGAAATCAGGGACAATATGATAAAAGTTGATTCTGTCCAGTTTGATATGTTTCGGTCGTGCTACCGACTACGAAAGTGATACCAGAATTTATGTTAATGATATTTCGGAGAAAAGTTCAAAGCAATTTTTAACTTTATGCTGATGATAGCCATAGACGTACGAGACAGGGAGGCAACTGTCCCCCCAAAATTTGGGAAAACCATGGAAATTCGGGCAAATGCTAGGAAAAATCAAGAAAATTCGGGCAGACGTATCAGAATATAGGTTAAATTTAGGTAATTTCATTACAATGCTCCATAAAAATTCGGGCAAACTTTCAACTGCTCCCCTGGAAAGCATCAGTCCCGTACACCTATGATGATAGCTTACTGTTCCATATACTTAATAACCCTAACCTTACAGCTGCCAGTATTAACCAGGATCTGGAACGGTCTGCTCTTGAGCCCGTGACTGGCTGGTAATCACTAACGCTGGCAAAACGAAATCTATATTTTTTTCTACCGACCAAACGAAACAAGTCTTATTTCATATCGCGGAACTTGACTAGGTCACGTCATGCAGTTACGAATATGTAGACAATAGACCTTACCGTTTATTCACTTTTCACCCAATGCCCTCGTTTTCGTTTCAAATACTTACTCATGTTTTGTGCTTAGTAGGGACATAGATAATAGAATAGATGGTTTGGAAACTCATTAGAATAACAACAACATAGCAATTTCCAATTTACCCTATTATTCGAGTCACGGATAGGCAACTTTCCTAAAATATTGCTATTGGTTAGTTGGGCAAAAATACAATACGCACGTGACGGTGAACGACCAGATTTATGAATATACGTTGACTACTGACATAGATAATAAGTTATATTGTTATTCTAATGAGTTTCCAAACCATTTATTCCGATTAGCTATGCCTATGGTAGGAAGAAGAGCAAGAAACAAATTCATCCAGGAAAACATGGGAATATAATCTTTATCTGCCCCTGACATGCTAAAATAAGTTAACATGGAAACGAGGCCATTGGGTAAAAGAGAATAATCGGTAAGATCTATTGTAATAAAATGATTAAATGTTAAATTGACATAGAACGTCAACAAATTCCCACTCTTTACTCCGAAATTCGTATAATCTTCTGAAGTCACGATGAATGTCGTTTGCACAATTTTAATAGCATGATATTCTCCCATAATTAGTACACTATTACATTAATTCAAAATACAATTAAAGTTATGTCCGTATGTTAAAATGCAACTGCAACTATAAAACTACAACTATAACTACAAGCGTATATTAAATTATTCGAATACTTATAAAAATGTTGATCTACGTTAACTCTGAGTATATTTCTAAAGTTTCTTTCAGCATATATGGTGTCTTATTAGCAAAATGGTCTGGGCTCGCATCCTCCAATAGGGAACGGTTCACCTGTGTTTGCATCAATGCGGTAGAAATAAACTTTGTCATTTTTGACCTACAAAACAACAAATTAAAAAATCGGGCAATCAACGCATAAGGTTTGCCATAAACATGACGACCTAGTTGCCATTTCCACCCCCATCAAGACCAACTTTTCCAGTGATATACTTAGTGTTAACTTGGCTTATCAAATCTAAGTTTCTACAGGCGCAGGATTCCACGCGTTACTTTCAAACTTAGTTACATGCATGCCAATCAATGGCGGAAATTCACTTTTTCCGGTGGGAGGGGGGCAAAGCCTCCTAAATTTCCGACAAAACCTTCAAATTTCCGACAACCCCCCTATTTGTACTTGAAAAGGTTGTATTTAGCCCTCTTTTAGGTCAAAATTTCCGAAAATTCGTCAATTTTCCGTAAAGGTGGGGGGGGGGGGGCGGTCCCCCCACCCCAACGAGATTTCCACCACTGTGGTCAATAGATAGCTTAAGATCTACGACGTCGACGTCAGCTAGGACGTCAGGGCTAAGCAGAGGACTGGGACTAGGACGTCGTCCTAAATAAATAAACTTCCACTTAAGATTCACCGTAGTCATTTAAACTATGAATATTTACATCCTTTTGAAAATGAATTTAAAACGACGAGCAAATTGAGAGAGACACATGCATGCACACTTCAAAAACTATTACCAATTTACTTCTGCTTGCCGCCCTAAATATTTGACGTCGTAGATACTTGAGCTATCGACTTATTTAGGACGACGTTCTGGTTCCAGTTATCTGCTTAGCCCTGACGTCCTAGCTGACGTCGACGTCGTAGATCTTAAGCTATCTATTATTGGTTTAGGCTAACGTTTTTCCCGTACCTCCATACTAAACATTTTCATCAGAATATAATGTTTTTTAAATACCTCCTCACAGTTTCAGTGACGTTTTAGGCAAGAGGCCAAACACTGTAACATTGGAAGAGACCGGATACATTTGCAACGCACGAATACCACCATTAATAAGACTCCTGGCCGTCCTGCGGCCGATTGTACGAAGACCGGATGCAAAAAATGGGGATTGTAAAACAATAGAGGAGTGGGCTATAATATTTTCTAACGCAGATGAGGGAAAGGTTTCAAGAAAGTCAAGAGGTGCAAGCGGAAGGTCAAATAATTTACAGAAACACAATACATGTTTAATTCTTCAGCTCCTTCCTCTACTAAAACCATTGTCTGGTACTTCTTCCAAAATATTTTATCAATAAATTGACTTTATATTAATTCCCAGGATAACATAAGCTTGTATATTAGAGAAAAAAGTTTAGGGTTGCTCTTTATTTATAAATGTAAGATTAACATTTTAATAATTAATTAATATTAATTATTTTAAACATTACTAGGCGGGGTTTGGGTGTTGAGGGGGGCATAACATTTGTATGATTGTTAGGGGGGAGGGTTGTTAACGTTTTTTTCACTCGAGAAGGGGGTTATAATTTTAAAAAAATATCGGAAGTTTACCAGCTTCCAACAAAAATAATATATGCTCCCTTATATAACAATTAACGGGCAACGTAAGAAAGCTGGAGAAATCACTATCTGGTGCATAGCGCTATCCGTCTTTCGTACAAGTGACCCCAGGTTTACGACCTAATTTCGACCCTAACCTCCCAATCGGACATTGTCCGACCCATTCGAGAAATTGTCCATCCGACGTAGTGAGGAAACCACGGGGCATCATACATATGTCATGTCCCGATGTCCGACCCAAATTCACAGTCATTGGACATTTTGTCAGACGGCCCAGGTATACCTACCGTATTTTTGTCCCATGATGCACTCAGGTTAATCCTTGTTGGATGGTCATCTCTGCAGGAGAAATATCCATGCACACTTTGTAAAATTCTGGGTGGAATAAGATCCGACGATTCTTTTATCTTCTCGTTCACTGGTTCTGAGAAATCTTGTTGGTGAGGGCAGGCTTGCATGAAGTATACATGTATATCCTTCTCGTTACAAGTTACTCCTAAAGCGAAGTCAAGATCTTCTCTCGCAACTTCTGTTACTTCAATATTCTTGGTGGCAGTTACTGTGTTGTTTCTTCTAGTTGTCTTTACAACGTTGTGCGTCAGCTCAGCACATTTGGCTGCAAGAGAGAATTTTTTTATTATTATTAATATTTTCATTATTTTTATTATTATTACTATTATCAATTTTAGAGAACACCCAGTTAAGAAAAGTGGCGAGTTACATCCTGACATTATAGTCCAACAATTATTTATAGGTAAAACAATGCCAGACAAACGTACTTTCTGGGACGACCATGTCTCCTCAATTACACAATTTTCAACATATGCTTACCAAAACCCATTGTGCTTCCGAAACACTTCCAGTTCGGGAAGGACAATCTTCGAGTTAGCCTGAGCACAGATCTACGTTTTGCTGCGTTTTATATTTATGTAGGTAACTCAGCTAACAGTGCAGTGCGTCAGTGCTCACGCTGATGAGCTTGACAATTCCAGTTTCAGCCAGTGCTCCTGAATGTACGCCTTTATTATTGCCTATCCTTGGACTGTACACTGCATATCTTTTAAATACATGCGATAGGCCGCAGCCACAAAGCAGTGCCTTTTCAGTCTAAAATTGTTGTTCTAAAATGAGTTTCGGAAGTTTTAATTTTTAGCCAGGAAAAATCTAATTCTTGAACTAACAAATTCGACCAAGATCAAGCAGTCTATATTAAAATACATCTTTATATAAATATTAGTAAGAACTATTGCAGACAAGTATGACAGCATTGTTGACCAATCAAGAACAAGAATAAAGATTGAATGTAATATTTACCATGGAATGAAGGCTTGCCAAATGCTGGTCCTCTGATAGCATGGAACCATGCACGATGTTGCGGGTTTCTCGGGGATATGGCAGTGAAATATATCCACTTTACATGAGCCAAGATATAAGTTTCATTCAGATCAAGTACGGTCACCTGATCTGGATCCAACTTGAAATAACCATGAGAAGTTTCCAGCTTGTTGCCTGGCATCTCACGCATAATCGTGTATCTGTAAATGTAGCTAAATGTGAGTTCAAAACTGATTGGTAATTTCACATGTGTGAGTGTATAACTGGGCCGGTGAGGGCGGGGGGGAGGGGCGGTGACGACGGGATCCTAACTCAAGTTTCAACTTGATACTTTTTTTGCAATAGTAATAATTCCTGTCAGAATGAAAAGAAATTTCCACGTTGGTTGAACTTACTATGTCCTAAATAACACCAAGAATGTAGTTAAAGTTATCTACTGTTTATATATATATATAGCATTATAGCTAATTCAAAACAGCTTTAGCATTATAGCTAATTCAAAACCTTAAACATTTAGCGCGCAAGGTATGGCCCATCTAAGGCTCCAAATGAGCAATACCCATACTGCTCATTTGGAGCCTTAGATTGGCTTAGTGAACCAAATAGCCCTACATCGAAAGTGTTTATATATTACACTCTAGTATTGTTGCAAACCAACAGTTACGCGAACCACTGAGTATTTTAATAAAATATAGCTAAAACAACGCGGTAACTCCGAAAATAAACATTTTAAAATTCTAGCTATCGACTAAGATTCAGTCATCATCAGGAATGATGCTAGGTTATGTCGACGTAATGTAACCTAGCATCATTCCTGATGATGCATGACTGAATCTTAGTCGAAAGCTAGAATATTAAAATGTTTATTTCCGGAGTTTCCGTTGTTTTATATATTTTATTAAACCAACAGCCGAGAATGCAAAACAAATTTCTATACATGACTAGGCGTACCACATTTTGAATATTTAACAATTATTCACCTACATGTAAGTGGAGGTGAAAAGCGCAAGGATATTCACCGAAACGCGAAGCGTTGAGGTAAATTTCCTTGGACTATTCACCGACACTCAGGTCAGGTAAATAATTGTTTTAGCATATACCACAGTAACAAAAAATGGCCCAAAAAACGATTTTTAAAACAATTGGTATTTCAGTTTTTACACTCTTTTAATAATTTTATTCATTAGAAATAGCTATAAGGGATACCTCTACACACGGTTAAACAAAACTTTGTGGCTTTCTTCGTGTTTTGCGAAACCGCAGCTTCATTTAGTACAAAATGTGTTCGATTACATGTAACCGGAAAGAAACAGGAAGCCATTTTGTTTATGTCCGGATGTGAATAGTACAAGGATGTCCGGAGCTGAGCAACCAATCAAATTGCTTGAAAAGTAGTATCCACCTCCCAAGTATATATGCTAACAAAAGTTATTTGAGTGGTATATGAATCTCTTATTCAACCAACAAGTGAACTTAAACAAATTTCTGAGAAAAGGGTAAGTATCGAACGATATATGTACTCATTAATCGATACCGATACTGCTGTTTGTGGTATCGCTGTTATCGAATGCCGAGTACTCAGTATTGCCCAGCACTATACCCTTCAGCAAATTAAAGCCTATAGTCTGGAAAAAGTAACTTGCTATAAAAATAACTTATAAAAATCAATGCGATTTGAGGCCTTATTCACTTTGTTAAAGGCGATCATTTAAGCGTAAACTCGACCAATTTTAGTTGCGATTTAAGAAGAGTTATTTAAGGCGATATACAGGTTCCAGAAAAGGCCAGTCTTGTGCTAACAATTCAGATTCAAGTTCTAACCTCCAAATCAAGTGAGCCATGTCATCACTGCATTTAAGAAATGTGAACTCCAACTCCATTTCATTGGTAAGGTCGTAACACATCTCTTCTTTCTTTGGTTGTCTTGATATTCGGTATGGGATTAGTGGAAATTCGTATTTAAACAATTTGTGCAAGCCTTAATTGAGGAAACATAACGCTGCATGTGAGGAAACGTATATGTGCATTACGAGGGGACTTTTGGGAGAACTAACTAACCTTGTTTTGGTGCTTTTGCACATTTCAAAGGGCAATAATTTCTCTTGCATGGATTGTTTTCACTATTTTAATGGTTTAAAAACTTTTGTACAATTTGCCTAAAATAACAGCCTTGTATTAGCCTTGTAATGCATAAAATATAAAATAATGTAAAATTGTGGTATATATCTAGTATCAAATGAGCTCACTAGCTCGGAGTTCTATAGTCAGTATAAATTTGTCTTCAAGATTAGTTTTATTATGCAAAAAATAAATAGTATAAATGTTATAATATACGGCATACCTGTTGTAGAATAATAACACCCTTTTCTCAAATATTCAAGAGCCAATATTTCGCCTTCATTCAAGCCCATATGAAGTATTCCTTTCTCCTCTTGAAAAACAGCGTTTTTAATTTTTAGTCGAGGATCAAGCAATGTAACATAGCCAAATGCTGTGTAGAGCTTATATGGTCGGTCCTTCATAAAACCAATTGCAGCAAGGTTGTCTGCGTATTGTTGCTCTTCTGCTGTATTTTTGGGCTGATCCGTGTGGAGTACACCCAATCGCGAGTCTTTTGAAGCATCTCTAGATTTCATGTTATATCTTAGAAGGCCACCTTTAGGATCAGCCAACAGAATTTCATTTGGTTCTATTGATTTTCAAGTGAAAGCAATATTTTGTTGAACTTGTTAATTGCTGTTGCAATTGCATCTGTCGTCGTCATTGCTGCTGTTGTTGTTGCTGTTGTTGTTGTTGTTGTTGTTGTTGTTGCTGTTGTTGTTGTTGTTGTTGTTGTTGTTGTTGTTGTTGTTGTTGTTGTTGTTGTTGTTGTTGTTGTCGTTGTTGTTGTTGTTGTTGTTGTTGTCGTTGTCGTTGTTGTCGTTGTCGTTGTTGTTGTTGTTGTTGTTGTTGTTGTTGCTTCTGCTGTTGTTGTTGTTAATAATAGTTATAATAATAGTAACCTTCATCTTCTCCGTAGGATCTTTCATAAAAAGCATCATTGGCACACATTGTGTGGAAATAAATTCCTCTTGCCAAGGCTGAGTCAAGAAGGAACACAGCAAACTCCATAGGATAGGTATCATACCAGAAGTAATAACAACTATCACCATCAATCATTCTTAGTGGGTCCATGCACAGTTCACTGTTGTTTGGACCATCTTTTTCCAGTGGTTGGTAAGAATAGAAATATCTGTGTATATAATATAAAATAATTAGAACTATTCACGTGCAGGTATAGTAGTAACATATTTAAGTTTCTGTGTTTAGATTAAATAACTCACTGCTGACTTGCATGTAGCACAATTAACTTTTTTAAAAAAAAATTTTCCATTTTTGGAAATAATTTATGCTATTAAATTTAGTTGTACTTATTTACAGGGAATATCTAAGATTTTCACACTTTATTTCCTCATTTCCCATACCACTTTTGCAATTACATTGTGAAGCCAAGAGACGCATGTGTATCACTTTGAAAAAGAGTAGAAGGATTTTGGGATTTCAACATTCCTGCAATCTAAGATCAATATTTTTCGAAATTTTCCGAGGATATATTAAATTTAAAAGACGCTGTTGCTCGATTTTTGGGATTTGGATGCGAGTTTGGATGTTACGGGAGGAATATAAATAAAATATAGAGATTTAGTTTCAATTTTATTGCTCCTATACTAGAAAATACACGCACGCAGAAACCCTCGCCTTGCTGACAAAACCATTGTATTTTCCGAACGTGAAGTATTTAAAGTACTTGTCTTGGTAACACGATAATTTTTTAAGAATATTTTTACAAATGAAAAATCCCCTAAAAATATCATTTTTAATTACAAAATTATCAATTTCTCAAACATATATATGTTAGGTATGTTATTATACGTAATATAAGCTTTACAAATAATAATAATAATAATTTATTAAAAACCAATATTGCAGCATAGCTGAATTACATTGGATGAACTAATTACATAATCTACATATTAAATTGTGCACAGATGTAGGAATAAAGGAATTTCTAAATGTATTAGTAGAATAGCGAGGTTCAATAAAAAGTCGCTTGTGTCTTAATAAGTATCTAGCATTAACGTTAAAAGTTGGTAAAAGATTGTACAATTTGTGGTTTGGATCGTTCATAATTGACCTGAATAATTTCTGACAAAGAGCTTGACGTCGATCAGATAAGGGGCAGAGCTTTGTAAGGTCCTAATTAAGATGATGAAAAGGGCTCGTTTTTGAATACGTTCAAGATCATCGCTTAGATATCTTGGCAGCGCATAATGGAAAACAGGGGCAGCATATTCGATGATACTGCGAATACACGAACAATAGAAATAGATCATATCGCCACGAGGTACTTTGGCACGTTTAAGCTGCCTCAAGAAGTACAAACGTTTAGAAGTTCTTTTAATAACACACTCTATGTGACTATTCCATTTCAGATCATTGCTGATAATAACCCCCAACACTTTGGCATGACTTACGATTTCAAGTTCTTTATGATTTATGGTCAAGGATGGATTCGCATTTCTTTACACTTTTTTTCATTCAAAGTAAATTTTAACTGTGCTGATTGATCTTCGATGCTGTTTAAAGTCGTCTGCATTTCGCTTAGTGATCCGCTGGGAACCACTTTGGCTGCTGTTAGGTCGTCGACATATTTCCAATTATCGTTACCATCTGTGTCCAGGTCATTGATCATTAGAAGATAGAGCCAGGGACCTAATTTTGTATCTTCAGGTACTCCTGCTGGGACGGAAGACCAACTGGAATAAACATCATTTCCCAACTTTACTCTCTGCTGACGATTGGTGAGAAAATCAATCACCCAGAATAGCACCCAACATGGCAGATCTAATGTTTCAAGCTCTCTTTTCAGGATATGATGATCAACCAAATCGAAGGCTTTCTTAAAATCCAATAACGCCAGCCTAACTAGAGCACCATTGCCGTCCGTCGAGCTTGAGAGCTGATGAATAATGCTAATAAGGTCATGGGTGGTTGATGATCCAGGAACTGTTCCAAACTGACGTCCGTCCACTATCTTCAATATGGCAGGTTTGACATATCTTTCAACTACGACCTCTTCAGCCACCTTTGACAGAACGGGCGTCAGTGATATTGGTCTCAAATGTAAGTTGATATCTAAAACAGGTTTTTGCTTTGATAAGGGTGTTACGTTTGCCATTTTCCAAGATGCGGGTAAGCCACGTTCACGAAACGACCTGTTTAATATGTCGTTTACTGACTTTGATAAAACATCCGCATTTTCTTTAAATATCCAGGTCGGGAGGCCATCTGGTCCGGGTGCTTTTGAAGGTTTTAGATGCAGTAATTGTAGAAACACTGAATTTTCGGTACAGAAGTCCTCCAAGGCAGATACTTCGATTTGTAGAGGATCTTCTTATGGAGAGGGTAAAGTTGTGAAAGAGGCCATGGGTGATAAAAAGGCTTGATTAATGCGTTCGGCCAATTCTTTTAGCTGCTCATGAGAAAAACCTGTGCTCTCATTGTCATTCGACATCAACAGGCGTAGATCATTAGATGGTGATGTAGGGTCCATTCCGCACAAAGATTTTACACCTTGCTTAAACCGAAAACAAGACGTACTTCTCAAGAAACGAGAATTATACGCAAAATTAGAGACCTGCGGCCAAGCAATAGAACAGCTTTCAGTACCTTTATTAACGAAATCGACTGGTCAATTCTCAATCAAAGCCAAAGCTGTGCAGACAAACTTATTACCTTCGAAACTATTATTCGTACCGGTATGGACATTTTGCTTCCTTTGAAAAGTATGAAATCTTGTTCTAACGAGCCAGCTTGGATAACATCCAGTTTTAAACCTCTCATTACACAACGCCAGGAAGCGCTCACTAACGGCGACACAGTCCGTTTCAAAGTTCTTCGTAATCGAGTTAATCGCGAAAGGAAGAAATGTCGTGCTACATTTTCCACTCGAAAGTGAAGTATCTGAAAAAATCAAAACCAGCGCTTTGGTGGAAACATAAGAGAGGTTAAGATACCCCGGTTTAGGTGTACGGGTACGAGTAGTGTCATCTTGTTTTACTGATGTCTTTAATTCGATCATACTTTTTCTGTTTTCTTGCAATAGACAATGATATAATGAGAAAAAATGTGCACCTTAATTACGAGTAAAGGCACAGACATCGACGAAAATATTGCTAAACAAAATCATGCTACTCGTACCCGTACACAGAAACCGGGGTATCTTAACCTCTCTATGGTCAGGTGATCAGAGAGACCAAATGACGACAATTTCTCAGGTGTTGAATAATATTCTTTTAAATCAGTTAGTATCAAGTCCAAGGTATTATTTCCGCGAGTTGGGAATTTGACCAACTGTTTGAGTCTAAAATGTCTAGAAAACCCACTAACGTTCAACTTGTTGAAGTCACCAAGAAGAACCGTGCCAGTATTAGGAAAGCTAGACTCGAAAGCTGAAAGTTGACAAGATAAATATTCGTTCATGGCTGGCGCATTAGAACTAGGTGGATGGTATACTATTCCGATGATGGATGAGAACCCTCTCGGGAGGCGAAAAGGCCGAGCTTTAATCCATAGTACCTCAAAATTGTCATGATGATACTGAGATAGGACCTCGTAGGGAATAGAGTCGTTGACACAGCAACAAACACCACCATCGGTCTCGACGAACAACGTTAAAGCCTGGAATGTTAATAACATTATTGTGAACTGAGTCTGTCAACCATGTCTCGGTAAAGCATGCGAAATCGACCGAGTGGTTAAGTACAACTGTGCGAATTTCATCGACCTTTGGTGCCAAGGACATCGTATTAGACAGAAGGAAACTAGGGACGAAGTTGAGCGGGGAATCTGGACGTTGAGTTACTTGGTTATCTTGAATTGTGATGGACGAAGAATCGTCACCGAGCGAAAGAGTTTTATCTTCGACCTGAGTATGTAATATATTTAATAGATTATTATACAGGGTATCTCAAAAAAACCGCTACCCTTGGAAATTCACCATTGTTCTAATTTGAATGCCTGAGTGCTATCTTGAACTCATGGGTGCATGAACAATTTGAATGGAATTTTATGCTTGAGAAGTTATTGAAAAGTTTCTGGTTTTGTTCAGCATATGACTGATTGATTTAAACGCAACAAAAATACGTAAGTCAAACAAAACGTTGTTTATTTTTACAATTATTAAGCACCACGCCCTTCGACGTGGCCCCCATTTCTCTCAACACAAAGTAATGTTCGTCTATGCATATCACGCACGGCTCGGCTAATGAGGGCAGGCTGTTGTCGTAAAGCATCAAACTCTTCGATGATTCTTTGGCGTAACGCATCAATAAAGGTTCAGGCATTCAAATTAGAACAATAGTGAATTTCTAAGGGTAGCGGTTTTTTTGAGACACCCTGTATAACAATGTATATAACAATGAGATTATTCCTATTTGGGCCATTAAGCCTAGCTGAATGAATAGTCAATGAATCACGTTTCGCTCCGGTGGAAATTTTTCTCGGCTTGCCAAGACAAAAATTTGGCCTACACTCAACAGTATATGTTGTTATTATAGGCTTTTAAAATTCTTGAAATATTTGATGTAAACTGGCCCCCCGCGACTGCCTCTCATCTTGCGTATGATCCCCATTGATTTCATAGTCGACCAAGTATGTAACGACAGTTGTTTTGCCGGTCTCTGAATTCCCGCAGTTTGACGAAGACCTTGTCCTTGAGATTGTACTTGGGTAGAAACTTTGTAATTGTACCAACATCGCAGCGAAAGAAGATAATTTTTGGAGTAACTGAGCATTATATGATAACACTGCTAGTCTAATAAACTAACAGTTATGAACAATCCAAAAAAACAGCGAGGATAATCCACAATTTTATAAAAAGGACGAAGAGCTATACAATAAGCAGCCTGACGGCGCTATTTACATACGCTATTTACTTTAAGGTAAAATTCAACCACAAACGCTTCGCAAAACGTTTTAAAGTGTTCTTTTAATATGGAACTAAACTGCCTTTATCGATAAACTTTGAATTCGAAATAAAATTATTCCAAATTCTCGCATGCAAATAATAACTTTGCTTATTATAATAAAACGGGGAATCAATAAAGAAACACTGAAATAATATGCTGTCTTGTTTCATATTTAATTATACGTAACGATCGGCTTTTAAAGTAGCAAAACGCTCTACGGAGGCCGGAGCGTTAACTCGCTGGGGCTATACAACTACGCACATTACTGTGCAATGTACATGATACATACAGTACACAACTCTTTCAATTGAGATTTAAGGTTTTCCCCGAGCTAAGCGGAAAAGTCGAATACGAGCGCGAAAGGCTTAATAACACAGTACTAAAATGCGGTGGCCCTACAAGTAAAGTTATATTTAGTACGCTACATTCTTCTTCAAAACTGTCAGCCGCCAGTTGGTCTAGGATTAAACAGCCCTTTACAGTAAAACGTTCAAAATAAAATATTTTGGGGCTTTTGAGCTCAAAATACTATCAAAGTGAACTGGTATACGGCCGAAAAGAGAAAACCAATGATACCAAAGTTATCAAGGGTCAAACGTACTGCATTTTTTTATAATTAGTTTAATATAATTAAATATTGAGCGATTGGCAACAATACAATTTCGCTTGGCTTTCAAAGACAAAGGCCATAAATCGCTAGAACACTGTTGTTTAGTAATACATTTGACATTCGTAATTAGTACAATTTCTTACGCTGAATCGAACGGTGGTATTTTTATCCTTATTGCGCCATTAGGCATTACAAATACAAGGACAAACCTGTGGACAAACGTAGTGCGAGTGATTTGTGATCAACAATACGTACTGCGAGCGATTTTTCAACAATATCAATTTCGCTTCATTTTCAAAGGCCATAAATCGCTAGAATACGGGTGTTTTGTAGTACACTTCACATCTGTAAGTACAATTTCTTACACTGAATCGAACGGTGTCGCTTTCTTCTCAAAATATAAAGCAGCGCAGTCAAATCACAGGCGGCCCAATCTCGCAAGGGTCAGTATAGACTTATACTGTAGTATAAATGTATATTATATTAATGTATATTATAGTAAAAATATGTCGTAAAATATAAATTTTAAAATGAAATTGACTTGCCTATTTGATAGTGTGTGTTCTCCTTTTATTCCTCCTTTGTTGGACTAATATTTTCCGAGACTTTGTACTCGATGTTACTAGTATACATGAAACATGATAAAGGCTAACCATTCCCGATCGTCGATACGACGGCACGGCACTTCGAATCGAAAATTTCACACTCAAATCGCTTTATTCTCCAAAAAAATTCGCCAGCATGTACAACAAATGCCGTTCTTCGAAAATACGGAGGTACTTCAGCGAGATGTACAAGTTTTGGGCCATATTTTAACAATGGAAATCAAAACCCATTTTATATTGAACTTGCCCAGGCCGAAAATTACTACGGCGAACGTCTGCGCAACCAGGCCTCCTTTACCGTTGGATTTACAGGGGGGAGGATGCCACTAATATATTCACGATAATATTTCGAATTAAAGTATCATATTCTACCATGCTTTCCAACAAAGAGCCGCTGTATATTACTTCTTCCTTAAATTTCTCCAATCTCCGTCGTTTAGTTTTCGTTTCTGCGACAACATCTCGAGTTTTATACAGTATCCGATCGAAGGAGTTTTTATTTTGAATATCAAATTTCAAATAATGTAAACAGTTGCTATCGCGGCCGCGATTGGCTGGCTGTTACCGGAAATATCTGCTTCCCCTCCTGTAAATCCAACGGTAAAGGAGGCCTGGTTGCGCAGACGTTCGCCGTAGTAATTTTCGGCATGGGCAAGTTCAATATAAAATGGGTTTTGATTTCCATTGTTAGAATATGGCCCAAAACTTGTACATCTCGCCGAAGTACCTCCGTATTTTCGAAGAACGGCATTTGTTGTACATGCTGGCGAATTTTTTTGGAGAATAAAGCGATTTGAGTGTGAAATTTTTCGATTCGAAGTGCCGTGCCGTCGTATCGACGATCGGGAATGGTTAGCCTTTATCATGTTTCATGTATACTAGTAGCATCGAGTACAAAGTCTCGGAAAATATTAGTCCAACAAAGGAGGAATAAAAGGAGAACACACACTATCAAATAGGCAAGTCAATTTCATTTTAGAATTTATATTTTACGACATATTTTTACAATAATATACATTAATATAATATACATTTATACTGTAAGTCTATACTGACCCTTGCGAGATTGGGCCGCTTGTGGTCAAACGTATAAACTTTTATAAACTTGCGATTTGCGAAGGTTGCTGTTTCCATGCGAAATTCCTTGTAAATTGTTCAATTTTCCCGAAATTTCCTCAAAATGGAGGGCTATTTATGGATAATTTTGGTAAAATTGGCAGGAGCCTTATGGATAATTGGGGGGGAAATTAGGCAGCTCATTAATATTCTATTTTGTGGCTATCGACGACGATTGGAGATTGCCGATCCACTAAAAATGAATGCCGAAACCTATACTCGCCAGGGGCACAGTGCCCCAGCGAGCAATTACAGTATATTAAAAGCAAACAATGCAAACAATATTTAAAACAAACTTACCTTCGTTAACGTCGGCACCTTTACTCCCTTATTTTAGCAATTCTTTCGCCTTTATTTTATCAAAAAGCTTTTGAAATTTACAAAATCTTGCAACTATAAAATATATTTGCAAGAAATCATCAAATCAAGAAAATAAGAAATATTTGCTATTTCGCTGTTGTCATGCCATGCAGTCGTTATAATGCAAATTTTAAATTGGACCAGTCAGTGTTGGCTATTCATGACAGTCCGCTATATTATGAAATCAGTGAGGATGACCACTGCCCACTGGTCAGTTTCATTCGCGAGTTCATTTTATAATACATCAATATAAAATTTTAAAACACTGATTATATAAACTAAACTTACAGATATAGGCTAATCACTTTTAATGCATTTGTTCGAACACTGACTGACACAATCAAAGGCAAACTGGGCAGGTTGTTTGACTCAGCCGGCATATAAAATGTTTATATTTAATATTTAATAGGAACTAAAGACAGTCTAAACTGTAGACGAAGTACGTTGATGAATACTTCGACGAATATTACCAGTAAAGTTGTGGCATAACATATAAACTGCACTTGTAATACCTTAAAAATTATGACTCACTTCCTGACACATCGAATATATCTTTCAAGACTGTGAAGTAGTGATGGGCGATTACCGATTACTTGGTATCGATACCACCCGATACCAGGCCCAAACACGAAGTAGTCGATACTACACGGTATCGAAAAAGTGCTTCGATTACTTTTAAAATAAGACATTCATTATAATCCTGCAGTTGTGTCATCATTTTCATGGTTATTTCTAATAAAATTTATGTACTTTTTGGTATTTTGCTGCATTTATCAATTTAATCAAACTTCCTTTATACTTTATTTGCCATTCTATTCTCGCCGACAGAATAAATTATGAAAAAGGCGGGAAATAAAGTAATTTTTGTTTTTTTATGGATCAAAATGGCGGATCAAATCGTTACTGTTAAAAATATGTAACTTTTTGAAAAGTGTAACTTTTTGAATAGTGTGCTGCCGAGCTAACGCTCGGCAGCAAATAGCAACAGTGCAACACTACAATGTTTTTATATAGATCATTGGCTAAGATGAGCGAGCGCGCGGGGGTGCTTGGGGAAGACGCGGGAAACGAAGCGCCTGGCAGAATATGTAACAAACATGGTGGACATGAGGATGCAAATGAGAAAATTGCTGTATTACACTAAATGAAATTGAAAGGCTTGCCCAACGAGTGGTACATTTGGGAAAGATTTTATGTCAGTGTCCAAATGATCACTGCGTTGATAATAAGGATTTTTCCTCGAAAACGGTATTATAAATTATTCATGAGAACTCAAGTTCATCGAACATTTTAAAATTTATTATTTCAAATGGTTGAAAATATATGTCTGGTGTTGGATGCACATCATGAATTATACTGCCTTTTTGCAGTTTGAAAGAAAAGTATTCAAGGAAAGAAACTGGCCAAGTTATTCTTGATTAATATTTTAAAATACATTGAATTTATATGGAATGTTGAAATTAAAACAGCTGGCTACCAAAAAACAAGTAGCCAGTTGGTAACTGGCTACTTGTTTTTCGGTAACCAGGTGGTAACCAGCTGTTTTAATATGGTATCCCCAAGCACCCCTGCGCGCTCGCTCATCTTAGTCACTGATCTATATAAAAACACTGTAGTGTTGCTATTTTTAGTACGTTATTTGCGCCTGGATACGAGGCTGCAAACGAACGGAAGTGACGTAGTTAGTGGCGTGATCAACCACGCTGGTTTTGACCCCACGAATTGTTGAATTTCTTTGAACTCGAAATGAATCGAACTTGAACTCTCTACTGTAGTTTTACGAAATAGAAATACATATTTAACAAGTTATCGAAGTAGAATTATAAATATTCACAAATTACAACATGGTCCTTCGACATGGATAGAAAAATGCCGCTAAAAAGAAACGTACAAGTGAGAAATGGACATCGAACCTTCGTGAGAAATGGACACCGAACCTATAAATGTTGCACAAACTTTCCTAACTGATGTTGACCCTTCGACAGTGTCAAAAACGGAAAAATTACGCGTATGGAAGACAACTTTGCACGAGAAAAAGGCTATTTTGAATAAACTTGACAGTACAATATTAGAGGAGATTCCGCCAGAAAAGATTGGCGACGAAATTAATGAAACAAGCGAATTTCTTCAAGAAATTGATCGAATTACCGTGAAAATTGACATTGCACTCGAGAAGATGTCAAATGGAAGCAACCCAGCAACTCAGGTAGGAACAGTAAACTTTCCCTTATCATCCGAAAACGTAAACAATAACGTAAGTCCTTCGAACAATGGAAATATTGCTCCTAAAGTGCAAGCAAAGCTGCCAAAATTAACATTGCGTAGATACTCTGGAGAACCGACAAAATGGCAACCATTTTGGGACAGCTTTGAGACTGCTGTACATAAAAATCCTACCATTAGCAATGTCGACAAATTTAATTACTTAAAGGGGCTCTAGATGGCCCGACAGCATCGTGTATTGCAGGGGTTGCTCTCACAGATGGAAATTATAACACTGCATAGATCTTTTAAAACATTCGATTTGCCACTTCTGGTAACATTCGGTCAGTACGGCGCCTTTACGATACAATTGAATCACACATAAGAAGTTTACAAGCTCTTGGGGTAGAATCTAAATCCTGTGGAAGTCTGCTTGTCCCAGTTATAATGAACAAAATCCCGGAAGAAATGAGACTCATTGTAAGCCGTAATTTTGATCAAAGTACCTGGGATGTTGATAGCATGCTAAAGTAATTTAAAACTGAGTTAGAGGCGCGCGAACGATGCTTCCACATGCAGTCAAATAAAAAAGAGAAACATGATCGTTGTAGATTTAATACAAAAAAGAACATACCACCACTTCATTATTTGCCCAAAGGTTAGACCAACCATCAATTACATGTTGCTATTGTCTGGGTAAACACACAGCCGGATGGTGTAAAATTGTTACCAATATCAATGCTCGAAAGGAAATATTGAAGAAAAAGGGAAGGTGTTTTAACTGTTTGTGAACAGGTCATATCGTTAGAGTTTGCCCATCCCAGCATAATTGTTTGAAATGTCGACAGCAACACCACACCTCCTTGTGTGAAAGGAGAGAAAATCCAACAAATCAGAATGAAAGGAAGACACCACCTGCAAATGGAGAACCTAATAATGAGCAAGTAAGTGGACAAAACACTACATCAATGTTTGTTAATTCTCATACAGCAGTCCTACTTCAGGCGGCAAAAGCTAATGTCTGCCGACCAGATAATGAGACCACAGCAAGCAATGTAAGAGTAATATTCCTGCAGCCAAAGGTCATATGTCAGCCAACGATTAGCTAAGTGGCTATGCTTACCAGTTATCGGACAGGATAATTTATTAACTAAAACCTTTGGTTAAGAAACCTCACGTTTACGAAGTTGTGAACTTGTACAAGCTAGTAGGTGTTAAAGGCATAGATGGAATGAGTCTATACGTGAATGCCTACGTAGTTCCTGTAATATGCACCCCTCCGAGCAACCAGTATTTACATGTAGCAATTGAACAATACCCCTATCTGGCAGATTTAGAACTAGATGAGAGTGCTGCCAACAGCCAAGAAGAGGTTGACATCCTAATTGGTGCAGATTATTATTGGACCTTTATGACTGGACATTCCAGACGGGGGAAGATCTATGGCCCTGTTGGTATACACACAAAACTTGGTTGGGTTTTGTCAGGCCCAGTTGAAAATGCCACAGAAGATGCAGGACAGGAATCTTCTGTCAACTTTAGTGCCACCCATGTTCATAAAATTGAAGCACATATCTACCAAGAGAGTGAAGTGGAAGATATTAAGAGTGAATTATCAAGGTTTTGGGATCTAGAAACGATTGGTATCTTAAATAACGAACTGTCTGTCTATGACAAGTTTAAGTCTGAAGTTAAGCAAACGGTCGGTATGAAGTTAGCTTACCATTCAAAGAAGAACATCCACCACTCCCTGATAATTATGAATCCAGCAAGAAACTACAGCAGAAACCCGATGTATTGCAAAGTTATGATGATGTAATACAAGACCAATTGAAGAATGGAGTTATTGAGAGAGTAAATGAAGAAGAGTCACCTGGCCCGGGCAAGGTCCACTATTTACCACATCGAGAAGTGATCCGCTTAGATAAAGAAACCACCAAACTCCGCGTTGTGTTTGATACTTCAGCGAAATCGAACGGCACCAGTCTTAACGATTGCCTATATGTTGCCCCCCCCCCACCCCCACCAATGTCACCACTTCTATACAACATTCTCTTACGGTTCCACATCCATAAGACAGCTCTTATGGCCGATATCGAGAAAGCTTTCCTAAATATCAGTATTTGTTCCTGAACATCGTGACTTTCTCCGTTTTATGTGGCCATCAAATCCAACTAGCCAATGCTCAGACATTGACTGTTATCGATTCACACACGTAGTCTTTGGTGTAAATTCCAGCTCATTTATCTTAAATGCAACCATTCGCCATCACCTAGATTCATATCAGAAGTCAGATCCCAAGTTTGTCGCAGAAGTGTTGCGGTCCTTGTATGTCGACGATTATGCATCTGGGTCAAGCACACCAACTGCAGCCTTTGCATTGGCAAACAAGATACGGGCATGTTTCCGAGAAGGTGGGTTCAACATGCGTAAATGGGTTTCGAACTCACAGGAACTGACTCGAATGCATGGGCGTACCGGAAGGAAAAATTTAGGGGGGCGGAAAGAAATTTACCCGACTTTTTCCGTTTTTGCCCGACTAAAAAATTTTTTCCGGAATTTATTTTGGCGACCCCCCCCCCGTCGCCAAAAAAATTTCGGTCAGTGTACCATTTTAGGGGTCAAAAATTTTTTCCGGACATACCAAAATTTTCCGGAACCTACCAAAAATTTTGGGCACATCACAAAATTGACCACAAAATTTACAGAATTTGTCTCATTTTTTATTTATACTCCAAAATTGCCCGACTGTTCAGCGAATATTGCCCGACTGCCCAACAAACTGGGGGGGCTGCCGCCC